GGTGATATCCAAGCAAACTTTCATACCGGTGTTAAATTGACACGCGCGGGGCTTATTTATTCTTTTCCAGAAGACGACGCGCGGCGATCGAGAAAAACACAGCTGTGAGAAGTGGTACAAGGTAGATTAATTTTCGCGAGGAAAAAAGATGTAACACGATTCGGTGGCCCGTAGAACTAATTGAACCGTCTCTCGAGTTCCCGTCAAGTTTTCTCGCCGTTTAGAAGCGGAAATAAATTCTTGATGAAATTAATATATACCCGCCCGGGGTGAAAGGTAAATTAATCTTTGCGACATTCTACTACTTCTACACTTTTTCACCGACAACCGAAACCTTTCCGTAATTCGAGGAACGATTTTACAGTGGAAAGCTGCATTTCATTTAACTCCTTGCAAGCACAAACTTTGTTTTCATCGATATTCCTTCTTTCCTTTTTCTTCCTCATTCTTCTACTTCCTTTTTTTTTTAATCGAAAACGCGATGGAACTTTCATCACGAGTACGATGCCGGAGGCAAGTGCTGGGGTTTCGCCCGTGCAATTTCTATTTTGCTGCGTCGAAGTGGAACCGTCTTTTCTTCCCTCCCACCATCTCTTTGTCCCTTCACGGGGAAGTCCCTGATAAAAAGGGTCGTTGCCGTGAAACTCGGGACAATCTATTCGTTTTATCGGTGCAAATATGCTCGGGGTTCGCAAGCGGAGCTAACAGTTCCTCGCGTATTCCCCTCCCTTGAGGATTACCAGCTCCTCCTGGAGCAACAGGAAAAACGCGATATCCGACTATACGAGCGTCCGACGAGTTTTCTGCATACGTCATCGATAAAATCGACAGTGTCCTTTTTTAACACGCACAAATATTTCCTCGCGTTTACAAACAATCTGAAAACTCTATTAATACTAATTGTACGATTTTCAATAAAAATACCTTGTGTTTCAAATCTTCTACTGCTGGTCATAAGAATTAGAACATGTTAATCCAGTGTGAGATATTTAGTAAAGGTAAAAAAATAAACATATTATTTTGAGTTCAATTTAAATTTATGATCATCGATTAATTGAAACATTAAATTAATTAATGCATGAACCATTATACGTATAAAATATTTAATCCCCTATTATAACATTCACTGCATTAACCGCTGTATGAAACATTATTTCAAGTATTGGATCAAAACAATTATAACATGAATTACTATATGATATCGTCCTAATACTTATAATTTATGAGTGTATTTAAATTTCATCAAGTGTTCTTTTCATGTATGAAAAAGGAACGAAATGAGAAGAGTGAAGATTAATAACGTTTCTTTTATTAGATGAATTTCACGGATTCTGTTATGAAAGAGGACGGAGTTAAATACGATTTAAAGTAACGCGGTGAAAAGCGAGAAGGAGGTGGAGTACGGAACTACTATCGACTCGGCAGAAACTCGAGGCATTCCGGAAGTCCGTAAAAGCGTGAAGATGGTTTCGTGGACTTCCACATATTTGTTAAGAACTCGAAACTGTAGAAAAAGACCGAGGCCGCCCGATCCGGAATTGTATTTCTCGACGACTCTCACTCACTCACTCACTCACTCCCTCTCTCTCTCTCTCTCCGCCCTTTTCTTTCGGGCTCACGATACTAACGAGTTGCAAAGATTCTACGATGCGACAGAAAATTTTAGAGAACGAAAGATAGAAAAAGCTAAAAGAGTTTCCAACTTCCTGTTACGAATGGGAGTTACATATACGCGTGATTCGGGAAGAAGCGAAAGTTTTACACATCTGCAATTTCTTGAGAAAATCCCCAAAATGCAGCGTGTTCTTCGAGAACAGATTTATACGTTAATCTAAGAAATTATCTTTAGTAAGAACGTCCTTTGAACATCGTGATAAACATTTTCCATTTATGCACTTTTGTCCACTACATATATTTTTTACGTTTTTCGCGTACTAAATTTTGCAATAAATGCAGAAAACATAAATTCTATGTACAATGGATAAAACTATATAAAATATCGATACCTGAATGCATATTGCAATAATGATAAAAGAACCGTCTATATAAAATACATTTTTTAACTGATATCATAAATGTTTTATTCAGTATAAAACTCTGTAGTCTAATAACGACTGAATTTTCTCTCAAGTTCAAAGTTTCAAAAGAGATTTCATTCTTCTGTGTGCGTGTGTGTGTTTCCAGGAAAAAATCTTTTAACTTCAACGAGCGAATGTTCATGCGAATGCTGATAAGCGCCAGAAGCCACTAATCCGGTATAATTAAAATAAGCTGCTCGGTTTCTGCTAATTGCCTGAATTCTTTAATCGCAAAGCCATTTCTCGATTAAACTTTAAATGCCACTTTCGCAAAGGCAGGAGATTTTCGAATCCTCCCCCAATTATATCCGGAGGAAGAATCTGAGATTTGACGAGAATGTTCTCAACCGCAATTCGATCGCTGACGTACAAATTCTATTGTATCCACCCCGATACGCAGAGGAATTTCCATCGAATTCGACCGGATAACTTTCTCGGAATTCCCCGAAAACGTATTGCCACTCGAAATCTCCGTCACGCCTTTGAACGTGGCACGAGAAAAAGAAGTTTATTAGTCGATATCGTGAGAACAGATTTCGTGGCGCTTTCCTTTCAAATGAAAAGTTCTTATGAAACGTTTCAACAATTTAATTGTCCACTATCGTTCTCGTCGCCACTGTTTTTCATCAATACATTTTTTAAACAAATTAATATTTAAATAACATTTGTATGGTTAAATACATATTTTCTGTTAAAACTATTTTGGTCTAGGGTAAATAGTTTTGAAGATATCGAGGAAAATGTACTTTCATCCCCAACTTTTAGCCATTTTGAACTTCTAAGTGTCGACGATTACAATTACAAAGAACTTGGGCCAGATATCTTTTTAAGAATTATATTATATGTAACTTTCGTTTTGTGTGCGCGTAAGTACGGTGATGTGCCTTTAAATTATGCAATAGAGAGACATCATAAAAGTCAGATTTATAATGTCAAGAACTTTCAAAATAGGAACAATAACGGAAATTTTTAAGAAAAAAAGAAGAATCCAACTTTCGCGCATTACACGAGACTTCTTCTGTTAGTTGGCCCGTTTCTCGAAAAACTTTTCGCCCTCTTCTGCTTCCTCTTATTGGCTGTAATGTACTGCGCCAAAGAGGCTAACCCGTCCCCGCCTAAAAAGCGAAGTTCTTATCGTGGCATTGTTGCCCTTTCGTTCTTGTTTCGAAAGGGGCTTTCTCTTTCTCTTGTCTACCAAATTGAATTAGTCTCGTGGATCTGACTGCCACGTCGCGCGCCACGTCGGGGTCTCGCCTGGTTGACCTCTCGCCAAGGTTTCTGTTCATGTCTCACCGAGTAATTCAATTCCTCTCTTACGCGACTCGACCGCGTCTATCCTAACGCCCCTATCCTTTCGCAAGTTACTTTTCTAATTGAAAAATGACTAGGAACCATAAATTTCTGTTACAGTTTGATATTGCTATCACAACACTTTGTACTTACTAGCCTTTTCTAATTTAGTTTGTACTATACACCAACAGTGCTCGAATTGCGACTCGCGAATCAAACCTGGCTTTTGTAAACATTTAATAAAGCCCCTCATAAAGAAGAGCTGAGGAAAAGCGAAAAAATTTGCAACAGCAACAAGTCTTTCAGTCGATATTATACCAATTAAGTGAGATTACAGAATTTATTCAATGATCTCAAAGAGAGCTTCATAAACCCACAGAGATTAAAACCACCAATTTAGTTGAATTATTTTTAGTTAATTATTTCGTTCAAGATTGATGTCGTTAACGACGGATTCTCGCTATTAAGACACTTAATTCCCTAGACGTCACTAATATAATCAATAATAAATCAATGATGAAATTACAAG